TGGGGCTCAAATACTATGTTTTATGAAATAGTACTGTTATTGTTATTGCTATCATTATATAGTTATTGTGACTCAAAAATATAGAAACTAAGTGTAGATTGCACTTTAAGTAGACCAAAAAATGCACAGAGTACATGTATGTAAATGATAGATCGAACAAATGAAGTTAATTTTGGATAGGTGCCTTGATTAGCCTTATTTCTTGTGGTACCAGGTTGATCTTAGTATCATTTTGGTAAGCATGTTCTTGTTCTATTTATTTCTGTTCATATTAATTGAGGTTTCCCTCACCTTATCAATTTTCAGGAGATTGACTACACAATGGAAGCTGCGAATGCAGAGAAATTTGCAGATAACTTCAAAGACATGGATTATGTCAAAGTGCCAACAATATATTGGGAATACACGACTCCACAGGTTTAACTTTCAAAAATCATAAAAGTTTGAATGATGAGAATATTTGATTTTCTTCTGTAATATTTTTTTCATTTGACCAATCTTTTCGCATCCTGTAGGTTCTGACAATGGAATATGTCCCTGGGATCAAAATAAACCGCATACAAGCTTTAGATCAGTTGGGTGTGGATCGCCAGAGGTGTCACACAATATATATTAACCACATTATGTGAAAATTTTTATGCTTCTGAGTTTGAAAAATTGAAATTACATGTCCGATTTTCGATATGATTCTAATGCTTGTTAATTCTCATCAGGTTGGGCCGTTATGCTGTTGAATCTTACCTGGAGCAGATTCTATCACATGGCTTTTTCCATGCTGATCCAGTAAGTCATTCCTATGAGCTTATAGTACATATTTCACAAATATTTGCTTACTAAACTTATAGTCTAGAAAAAGGTTTAAATTATCTGAAGGAAGATCCATTCATACTTTCATGTTTATTTAGAACAGCAATAAAATGAGAGGAAAAGCTGAAGGAAGATCCATTATCTGCAATGGGCTTTTAATCTCCTTGAATCTCTGATCACATTCTTTAATTAATTTTCCGTCCTTTTGAACAGCTTACATTTGAATAATGCCTGAATTATGTGCTTTTTATCAATGATGATATTGATTTGAATATATATGCATATATCATATTATTTGCAGCATCCTGGAAATATTGCTGTGGATGAAGTTAATGGTGGAAGATTGATCTTTTATGACTTTGGAATGATGGGAAGGTGCAATTTGATTCAATGCTTCCTTTTGTTGGGGAACATTTCTCTTCGCGTAGAGTCTTTTCTTTTAGACATATTCATCTTCTATGCAAATAAACACTTGACCTTTACTCTTTTCAGTATAAGTTCTAACATTCGAGAAGGTTTGCTAGAAACATTTTATGGAGTCTATGAGAAGGATGCGGATAAGGTGATAGTTTCTTAGACCTTGTTTGAGCCACATTATTTCCATAAGAATGTATTTTCGAATATTGTATTGATGGGAAATGTGTTGTTAAAAAATAAAGAAAACTTTTGGATTTGCGTGTAATATTATTTTATTGAAGAATGTGTGGTTGAAATGATGTTAAATCACTGTTTAAGAATGTATTTTTTTGAAATAATGTGGGTCAAATGGGGCTTTAATATTTGGCTTTTGGTGATGTCTGAATTTCAATAAGGTCTAGCTATTAACATTGATGACATGTCTGATTACTATATCAATGCTATTTTTTACTAAGAAAAGTTTTTATCTACTACAGGTCCTTCAAGCTATGGTTCAGATGGGTGTTCTGGTTCCTACAGGAGACATGACAGCTGTCCGACGAACTGCACAATTTTTCCTTAACAGGTTCTTCTTGGATCAACAACTGACATTTCCTTTCAGCTTCAATGTTCATTTCTTCTTTTGCAAATTCGTTATATGCTAATTTTATCGATTCCAACTTTCAAATAATTAGGGACTAAGAATTGACAGCACATAAAATTAAGAATATCATCTGTTCTCATGCGTTTTGATACAATTAGTGGACAAAGAATGAAAGTAGGTCATGTAACGCCCCAAAATTTATTTCATTTATTTTATTTTATTTTTAAATG